AATCTGCCCAGGGACTTTCTGGTTAAGTCAAGAAGGTGTAATTTCTATTTTCACTTGTAACCCTGTATTTTCACTTGCTTTGAAAGCATCCCCCCACCCCCTAAGCAATAAGATTTCACTGAAATTCAAACATCTCCCCACTAGGGGAAGAGACAGTGTCAGATCACAGATCAGAGCCCAAGCCTACGAAGTGAAAAATAGCAGTAAAACAGAAATGAGGCGGATTAAATTTTAAGTTCATGCTCTTCTAACCAAGGAGTTTAGAGAAATCCACGCAGCACCAGCGATCACTGGAAAATTGGATGTGAGATCTGATTAGAACAGTATTTCTCAACCTTAGCTGTACGTTAGAATCACTGTGGTAATTAAAAAAACTTTTTTTAGTTAAAGCTTTGAAAAAAATACCAATTCCAGAGTCCATCTCCAGATGGACTGAATTGGAATAGCTCAGGGTGGGGCCCGGGAGTGGTGCTTTGTAAAAGCTCCCAGGTGAGTCTAAGCAGCAGCCGGGATTGAGACCTCAGAGTCAGAAATCCCCGCAGGAAATATGAGCAATGCAGTGGGGAGGATGCTGCTGCTTCTTAAGTCAATCCGAATAGACCATCCCAGCTTTCAATTGCTCAAGAATCTGAGTACTCATTCAACAGACGTTTATTCTGATGTCAAGAGGATACATTAATAATTTATCAAGAACTCGTATATGGAGTGCTGACTAAACAAGATGACAGTAATTGCCAAGTGTTTTCTTTTAGGACTAAATACAGCCCCAGCCTCCTTTACTAGGTGCAAGTTTTCCCGGGGTATTCAATATTGCCGCAGGAATAATGCTATGTTTTGTACCTATGGCCCCGGAGAACACTGGTCTATGGTCTTTTAACCACCTGTGGTTCCTGGTTCCACTGCAAGATGATGAGTGGGGCACCTGTGGAGACCAGACACAGCAGTCCTTTTGGGAGCCACAAGTCTTGAGCTCAATGGAGCAGGAGTGACTTGGGACCCCAGGGGCAGAGTCACGGGCAATGAGACCCCAGGTTGATGTCCCTCACCCCTTGCTCTTTAGAGATGATAACGCTTTTCCTAACCAGTGGAGTAAGAGATAGGGGAGGGGAACCAATTTTTATTAACGCCTCTCTCGGCCAGATGCTGTACAGAGATGATCTGAATCCTTACAGCAGGGTTGCTCAGCCTTGGCTGCACACTGGAGTCACCTGGGAATTTAAAAAACCCCAGTGCCAGGGCCTCGGGACCATTTCCGTCAGAATCTGTGGGGCGCGGGGGGTGGGGGGTACCCAAGCATTAGAAGTTTTTAAAGCCGAGAGCTACTGCCTTTGCGCCCATTTACAAATGAGGTAGTGAGGGCCTAGCCGGGAGCGCCTAATGGGCTCAGCTGCAGTTCTGCAGCCCGTCTCCATTCCGGTTCCCTGAAGCCTGGCCCCTATATCCTCGAGACCAGCAACTAGTTATTATGTTCAAGTGGAAGTTTCTTATTTAGCTGAGTGTGTTAAACAAGTGCATTAAGCCTCAATTCTTGAATCGACGCACTCAGTGGAGTTAGGAAAATTACCTAACCTCTCTGTGCTGTCGTTTCAAATGGGGATAATTACCAAGCTCCTCACAGAGCTCTCTGGGAAGAAATTACGGGAAAGAAAGTCCTTTGGAAACAGACATGATTAGAGAAAGGCTGTCCTTACAACAGATTATTTAAGGTTCACTGTCACGTACTCTAATTTCAGGGGCACCGGGACACGAGCCTTGCTGTGACTTCTGATAGTGTCACATTTTCGCTTCAAGTATCAGGTTGCGGAAGGTGTTGTTAAGAACGGAGAGGGGTGTCAGGAGAGACTAAGAGAGGGCACGGGGGTTCTGGTCCTGGCAGCTGCCCCAGTCCTGGAGGCCCTGGTGGGCTCTGAGTCTGTTCCTCACTGACCCGGGCTGAGCTGGCCAACTGCTGAGCTCCACAACACTCCATCCAAGATGGGCGCCCTCCAGCTGTGCGCCCAGACGAGGGGCGGAAGCGTAGGGAGGCCTGGCATGAGGTCCACTAGCGGCGCTGCCCACAGGACAGACAGCCATTCCCACTGCTGACTGAGGCCTGAGCCCCGCTTGCTGGAAAGCACACACAGCGTCTCCCCAAGTCTTTTTCCAGGGCAGAGCGGCTCTCTGCCCTCCCATCAAGGGTGGATGACGGAGGGGCTGGTCACTATGGCCCAGTGGAAATACCATCCCCTTGGCGGTAAGGCCAGAACCCGCCTAGGAGAGCCCACCCTCTCTGGCCACGGAGCCCCACAGTGTTCTCTGTCACGGCCCCTACTCGTGGGCAAAGGCTGAGCCCAGTGGGGGAAAGAGTGAATAGATACGCACCCTCGTGCCTGCTGATATGTACATATCCATGTCCCGTGTGAGTGCCAAGCATACGGCATATTTATATTATAGGAGCACATAACACATCATGAGGGGCTCTTTGCGTATATATTAATATATACAATATAATCACGACTCCATCTTTGTGTGTGATGTAAAGGCTGTCGGAGGTCAGCTGCCTGACACGGTTTACCCGGTAGTGGTTGTTTTCCCCCAGGATTCACGGCTCCCGTTCTGCCTGTGTCCTAGGAATGCAGCCCTTTTACGGAAGACCCTGGGCCTGATTGCTGACTTGGCACAGAGCCTGGGTCAGGGCGTGGGGGCAGCGCAGACGGCTAACCTGACAACACGAGCTCTGAGGTAACTGGGCATTTCCTCCCTCCCTGGGGGTGATGTTGACGCGTCTGGCCTCGAGGTGTTCAGGGAACGACAGGCCGATTCTCATCATTTCCTTTTGGGGCCGCCTCCAGTCAGAGGATCCCCAGGCTCCTCTCCTGTCCCACAAGCTGCCTAACCCATGGCTAAGGACAAACAGGGACCCAGGGTGGTATGTGCCCAGGGGAGGGGTCATAGCTGACCTGCGGCCATGAAGCTTGGAGCCGGGGGTGACAAGCACTGTCTGTGTCATTTTCTTCAGGCAAGAAAGGGACCCAACACCACCCCCCCACCCCAGACTGAGCACGGAGGGCACTGCGGGGCCTTCCTGGAGAGGTTCACTCTGTGTGATGCAAGACAGCCCCCTGCAGAGCTTCCCTTCCTGGGACTGCTGGGGTGTGACCCGCTACACCCAATTCTCACATTTCTCTGAAGCCTCAAATTTTTTTTTTTTTTTTTTTGTGAGGAAGATCAGCCCTGAGCTAACATCCGATGCCAGTCCTCCTCTTTTTGCTGAGGAAGATTGGCCCTGGGCTAACATCCGTGCCCATCTTCTTCTACTTGATATGGGATGCCGCCACAGCACGGCTTGACAAGCAGTGCGTCAGTCCGAGCCTGGGATCCGAACCTGCGAACCCCAGGCTGCTGAAGCAGAGCAAGTGAACTTAACCACTAAGCCATCGGGCTGGCCCTGACGTCCCAAATTTTATCTTCAAAATTTAAGCACCTTTTGCATTCTGCTCATCAAACCATCATTGGCCTGACAAAAAACCTCACTGCTTACCTGTTTAATCACTTAATTTGACTTTTCTCTCCTAAATGGCCATGGAGAATAGATGCTCTCGAAAGACGTGCCACGCCTGTCCTGTGGCCTCTGCCCCCACACGTCACCGTGCGCCCCTCCTTCCCAGTCTGAGGAGCTGGAGCCTCAGTCAACCTTGGTTGCCTCCCCCAGAAGGTTGGCCCCTTCTGGGGATAAAGGAGTCCTCCTCCCCTGCCTCCACCCCCAACGGCCTGTGTCACAGTGCTGGCCAGTGTGGCTAGGAGGACACAGGCTATGACATGTCCCTCTGTCTCCTGGCAGGTCCTGGCACCGCAGGGCTCCTGGGCACAGGACCTCGCGGACTGCCCCCCCAGGGAGAGGCTGAGCATAGCCTCCTGGGGTACGGCGTAGCCTCTGAGACCTCGAGGTTGGGGCATGAGGCCCCCAAAGCCCATGAGGCTGGTTTCAGGTGAGCACGTTTCTGGGGACTCAGTCCCTCCCGGGCACCTGGCCCTGGCGTCTGGGGGGCTCTCAGCACACAGGGAGGTGCTTTTCCCAAAGCAAAAAGCAAAGGAGAAATCAGCAGCTTTCTGGTGCTGGGTGCTGGGGCCGTGTCAAGTTGAGACAATCACTGCAGTACAGGGGAGTCACCTGGGGACGCAAGGTCTAAAGCCAGGACACAGCTACAACGACACTTCACAGTTCCTTAAATTGTGCAGGTTTTAACCCTGCACAAAGGAATATTTGGTCATAAACGTCATCAGTAGATTCATTCTCTCATCTCACACTCACTCCACGGGAAAGGGGCATGAGCAGAATTTCTAGCACTGTCTAAACAGTCATATTTCTCTGCCAAGTACAGAGAGTTGAACTCACATATGAATGTTCTTCTTTTTTTTTTTTTTTTTTGTGTGAGGAAGATCAGCCCTGAGCTAACATCCTTGCTAATCCTCCTCTTTTTGCTGAGGAAGACGGGCCCTGAGCTAACATCTATTGCCAATCCTCCTCCTTCCCCCCCACCCAAAGCCCCAGTAGATAGTTGTGTGTCATAGCTGCACATCCTTCTAGTTGCTGTATGTGGGACGCGGCCTCAGCATGGCTGGAGAAGCGGTGCATTGGTGCGTGCCCAGGATCCGAACCCGGGCCGCCAGTAGCGGAGTGCGCACACTTAACCAGTAAGCCACGGGGCTGGCCTGACATATGAATGTTTTTGTGATGTAATTCCACTGCAGCAATAACAATCACTAACCTGGATGTGTGTGTACTGTGTGCAAAGTGTGATGCTAAGTACTCCTTTCGTATATATTTATATTCTGTTTAATCTTCCCTGCTACTATTCCCGTTTTACAGATGAGGCTCAGAGAGGTTAAGAAACTTGCCTGAGGTTGCACAGCTAATCTGTGGTGGAGCTGTGTCCAGGACCTTGAATCTACACTGCCTCCTACTACGCTACAGTCTGAATTGCCCACACACCTTTAAGGAAACAAAATCTTCACAATACCTGGAATGGTTGCCTCTGACACATCTGGCCCTCCTGGAGAAGTTGGGATGGAAGCCTCTGTTGGGGAGATGACTGTTTCGGCTGTTTGGGTTCCTTCTCCTGAGTACAAGGGGCTTGAGGACTCGATTTCTAGAAGCGCCTCTGCAGGGCGCTGGGTCTGCTGGGTCCACTTGGCCTCTGGGATGCCGGTGCTGATGACCACATCCAGGCCTGAGGTGTGACCAGACGGGTGTCCGCTGCTTTCAGTCCTGTCTCCAGAAGCCACGGGAGTGGCTGAAGGCCAGCCTGATGCCTCTGTGCCCACGTGATAGGTGGTGGTTGACTCTCCACTCACTTCCAGGGTGGCCGAACCCTCCCTGGTGCCTTCCTGAAAGCTAGATGTGCTACCGCTCACCCTCAGGCCGGAGACTCCCTCCAGATCAGCTTCCCGGGGGGCAGAAGTGGCTTCACTCAGATCGGGGGACGCGGAAGCTCCTCCGCTGGCCTTGGGGGCAGCGGATACTGCCACCCCAGCCTCAGGATAGGCAGATGTCTCGCTGCTGGATTCTGGGACTGACGATGCTTCTGCTCCAGACCCGGGGAACCTGAGTGTAGCTCCACTAACTTCCCCAGACGCAGAGGCTTCTCCACTGGACTCGAAAAGCTGGGGGGTGTATGTCACAGGGGGTCTTTGGCCGAGTTCCTGGGAAACAGTTGGTTCAGTAACACCCTCCATGAACTCAGAAGCAATTAAAGTAACTTCTGGAAGTCCTGAGGCTTCTCCACTGGTGCTTGTGGCCGCAGAGTATTCCCCACTTACATCAACAGTGCCAGACAAGTCCCCACTAAAATACGGAGTACTTGATGGCTCTCCACTGGGCTCTACCAGCTCGGACTGCAGCCCACTTAAGTCCAAAAGTCCCGAATGGTCCCCAGACGTGTCTGGTGCTCCAGAATGGGTACCGCCGAGCTCCAAAATGCCCGAAGGCCCTTCTCCTGCTTCTTGGGCTGTTGGAGCCTGGGTTACAGACTCCACCAAAGTTCTGTCTACAAGAGAGACAGTGGGGAAACCAGACGGAAGTCCACTGCCGTCATATGCTCCCGAGGGCAGGCTGCTCCCAATCTCAGCTCCAGAGGATTCTCTGCTGACCTCGGCTACTCCACTTGGCAGGCCACTGAATTCTGGAGGCTGGGATGTAAACCCACTGGAGTCAATTGCTCCAGAAGATTGTCCACTGACATCCACTATCCCAGATGTGCCTGAGAGATCTGCCTCCCCTGAAGGGAGGCCGCTGAGTTCCACGGACCCTAAACCTTCTTCTTCTTTAAAGGTAGTTGGGGTCACTTCGACCAAACTGGTGTCGACAAATGTAATGCCAGAAGTTTCACCACTGCCACTCACGGCACTGGAAACCAGGTCAGGTATTCCAGATGTTGTCCCACTGAACCCTGGCAACCCTGATGGCTGCCCACTGAGATCAGGGACCCCAGATATTTCTCCACTCAGGTCGGTTATGCCAAATGGTTGACCACTGCCAAAAAGAACTCCAGAAGCTTCTCCACTGACATCTGGTTGTCCAGAGGACAGTCCACTAAAATCAGTCACTCCAGATGTTTCCCCAGAAAATCCTGATGGCTGCCCACTGACCTCAAAAAGCCCAGATGTTCCCCCACTGATGTCAGGAAACCCTGATGGCTGTCCACTGACGCCAAAGAGTCCAGATGTTTCCCCACTGATGTCAGGAGACCCAGAGGCCTGGCCACTGAGTTCAGCTCCTGAAGGGAGTCCACTAGCTCCCCCACTAATGTCCACCTCACTGAAGGGCAGCCCAGATATTTCTCCAGCACCACTGACGCCAATGGTTCCCCTCCCTTCCAGTTGACCTGCAGTGGTGGCTGTTACCACTTCCACCAATGTGGTATCCACTAGGGAGACAGTTGGGAACCCAGATGGAAGTCCACTAAAGTCAGGCAGCCCAAAAGATGGGCCACTTCCAAGGTCCACCCCAGAATGCTCACCACTAAATCCAGAGGGAAGGCCACTTGCTTCTGGCGCTTGCCCACTTCCTAGAGTTCCAGAAGGTATTCCGCCAAAGTCCAAGGCTCCAGAAGCTGACCCAATCAAGTCCTCTTTTCCAGAAGGCAACCCACTGAGGTCCTCAGCTCCAGAAACAGAGGTCTCTAGTCCTTCCCTTCCAGAAGGAAGTCCACTGAGGTCCTCCACTCCAGAGGCAGAGGTCTCTAGATGAATCTCTCTTCCAGAAGGAAGTCCACTGA